GCAAAAGCGTTTGACAAAGTCTAGCACGACGGCTTACTTTACAAACTGTATAAACTCAACGTGCCTGATAGGCTCATCCACATCATCAGAGCCTTCCTTGCCAGCCGCCATTTTCGCTATCGAATAGGGGAAACTCAATCCTCGAAACGCCACCTAAAGGCCGGAATCAGGATGAGAAAGTAAAATAATGCTAATTAAGAAGGTTTGTTTCTTTATTATAATATCTATTTCGGTCTATTTTCAAATCATAACGTCTTTCGATTAAGCAGTTTGAACATCGCATTTTAGTTTAAGGACATATTTTATAGATAGTACAAACAATGTAATGTCAAACCCATGTACTATAATCACTTTAATATAAATAAAGTTATTATTATTATTATAATATTATTATAGTAATTATAGAATGAAATGATTATGAATTCATGATGTATCGATATCGTCTGTATGATATTTCATGTAGATTTGGATGCCCTATTAGTGTGATAATTGAATAATGTATCATCATAATTACAACCCATCACAAGTCCAATCTTTTTATACGATAAGGGTGACAAACGAGCACATAGTCAACCTGATGGTAAGTGGTTGCTATGACCCATAGACATTGTTTGCGCTAAATGTTAATTTTTAAAACTGCATTACGAGCGCTCGCGTCCGATGGTAACAGGGGTCGCTGCCGGGCCTCTCTTCCCCGCGCGCGTTCTCCCGCTCACGCCCGTTCACCTGATGTGGTGATTAACGGGACTGGTTTTGCCGAGGCGTCGAGCGCCAAGTCATTCGCTCGACGCGTGGGCCACCGTATAGTATTGTTTGCAACCTTAGTTGGTTGGGCGCGGTCCGTGTGGTCAAGAATTGTGCGCGTCGTCTTGAATTTACTATCGAATATTTGGGTCCGGGTTAAGACCGCCTCGAATTGAGTGTCTGTTTGAGCGTTACGCGACAAGAGACCTAGTTTAAGTTTTGAGTTATTAATTTAACTTAGATTGACATTAATTACTGTCGTTTTGCTCGGTTGAACTGCGAGGTCGCGTGCAAAAGGAAGCCTCTAATTCGTGTCGTTTTTTTTGTTAGTACGTTTACGTAACGACGAGGCGTTTTTTCTTGAATTTGAGTGATTAAAGTAACTTCGTTTGCAAGTAATTTACGTCAATTTGTATAGTGATCGAATTTTGAAGTGCATTTGTAATATTTAATTTGCTTGTATGGCCTCTTAATATCGTACGAAAGAATTTTAGCTTGTCGTGTCGAACACTAACCTTGTGACTCGAGAGGAGACCGCGTGTGCTCGATTATAATTTGTTGCTAAGTGAAAATGGAACGTTGAACTTTAATCGACCGTTCATTAGTTGTGCCGTGTGTCACTTATTTGATTACGATTAACGGGGATTTAGTTGAGTTTGAAGTTAATTAAATGTACAATAAAGTTTATAAACTGAAATAGTGAAATGAAGGCAGAAGTTTTCAATTGATGAACTACGACTGGAGAGAGCGCACATTTGAAGAACAGCAGCGCCTGTGGATATTCTCTCCGATTACATCGGGCCGTCAGGTTACATGTATATACACTTTCGCACACCTCTGTACATACACCTCACTTATCACCTGACTGGTACCCTATGGTCAACCCTACCTCCGGAGATCGGTAAGTTTTTGTTTGATTAGCAGCTCTTATAGAATAATTGTCCATAAGCCATTTGGGCCCCGTCCTCTGTTGCTCGTCTAGGGGCCTACTATGGACCCTAGCCCAATCGACCTTTTGTCGGGGCAACTCTAAGCGTGAACAGACATCTACATCTATCTTCGATTAAGAATCAAAATGCAGATGCGTTGTCACCCGTGAGGACTAAGAGAGAATGCAACGTTTCCAGTAAAAAGGGTATCCGGTTCTCTACACTCACCATACGAAACACAGCATCGTTAAGCTGCTATTTTACGCTGGTATTCTGTGAGAGCGTGGTCCTTACCCGGTCGACCCATTCGTGCTACAACCATATGGTAGAGCCACGAACCAATGATGAACATTGGCCTCCCTTGTTTATTATCATGAAACACAGTCCTGTACTATACACATACATTGGATTCATTCATGCTTCATCAGGACATCACTACATCCCGTGGAAATTGCCTTTCATTGTTATTCTCGTTACGGATCTTACACTCCATACCATATAACAAAGCAATCGGTCACAAAGCTCATAATTTGGACTTGCGCATAATTTTTGATATTATTAGAATTTGATAACAGGTTTTGTTATCAAAATCTAATAATATCGAAATATTATGCACAATTTTTTTTGATTTGGTAAGGACTTTTACTACACTTTCACCAACTAAAGTATCTTATCGAAGTGATAGAATATAATTTTTATAATTATAAAACTTTAATCCATATTAAAGTAGACTGATAACAGAAAAATAATTTCATTCCAATAAAGATAATTTGACGGCCGAATCCCGTACGGAGCAAGATATTTGTATGGCCTACAAATAATTGTTCCCGGTCTGGATGTTTGTCCTCGTGCAATTGATATTTGTAAACTGCGTTCACGATACAGGAGAAAATCTTAGAGTGGCGGTAAAGTTTTTTTTTTTTTTAGAAAAAAAGGATAATTACTTTGATTGTATAATAAATGAGACCATGAATAATTTTTATATTTTATTTTAAAACAGCTGTACTTATCACGTACAATAAACGTCAATAAGCATGAAACAAAATTCAAATTGCATAATATTTAATTCTGAAACAGAAACACCTAATGGAATTGTTGAATTATATCAAGATTTCTTGGAATAGCGAAATAACGTAATATCACAGATTATAGCACAAAAATACAAGATTTAAAATACAAGAATACCAGTATGTAATAATAAAACTCTGTATAACTCTAACCAAAATATGGAAAAAAACACAAGCTTACTCCTTATTTAGTTTTCCTAAAGCACAGTCCGTACAGATAAAGAATGGGATTAAAAACGGCGGCTCAATATGCATGTACCGTCAACATGCACAGTTCCAATAGCGAAGACCCGCTAATAACGGTATATCGTTATAACGGTATGTTATTCAGTTAAATGGAAATTTTCTTTTGATTGGAAAATATTTGATATTTATATACTAATTATTTATACACTAGTAAGTACATTAGTTTTAAAATAACGTTCATAACTAGCGACCCGCTCTGGCTTCGACTGGGTGGGAAATTAATGTGGCTATATTTAGACTTAAAATAATTATTAAAGACCATTTATTTCATTTCATCGATTAAATAGAATACTAAGTTTTTCGGATCTTTAGTATTTATCACTCTTGGTATTACTCTCTATTTGTTCGTAAAGTGTATTTAAAATCGGCTCAGCCATTCCGAAGATAGACAGACTATAAAATCATACAGGCTAAAACTTTAAAAATGGTTTTACACAAAATATTAACAAACAAAATCAACAAAAAAATATGAAAATTCTCAGAACGAGTCTAGCTCACAAATTAGCGTAACCGGAATGATTTTTTTGTGGTTTATGTAATTTTTCATTGATTCCAGTGACAAGTTGGACTGAAGTTAAAGGACGTACAAAAATAAATATTACAACGTATTTTTTTAGTCTTTACTGGAGGGTGTGACTACAGATTGCGACAGTGTGCGAGCGAAAGGTGAATATAGGTGACGCCATTTTCAATTCCATTCATTAACCGCATGGTTAGTAACAAGTAATTCAATAAATTACAAAATAAATTTTCTATGATCAAAAATACAATACTTTAATTCATAATGACATTATAATAAAAATGGTTAATACTTTAACAAACAACCGCTTACTCATATGACAGTACATTTTTAAGACGACGCAAGACCTTGTGAATTGTATGTACATTCATTGAATATTAGCGAAATTTAGTTTATTCCTTGATAATCAGGAATTACGTTAATATATTTATAAGTATTATAATATTTTATCCAAAAGCCATCTATATTATATACAAAATTACTATGTATATACTAAAATAAATGACTAGTGCAAAGGGCGGATTCCAATAACACATCATTACAGAAACATAACTAAAATGCGATTTCTAATGAAATTCATAATCAATGAGCACTTAGAAAAACAAATACATCTTATAAATAAGCAGAGATAAAAATAATTAAAAAAATCTTATCCGTAATATCCGCCTAGCCGAATATCGGTCACGGCGACCAGTCTTAACGAAGACTTGCCATCTTCATGGGACAGGAGTAAAGCGCACAAGTGACGTGCGCAAACACACGTCACTCTGTCTCCCTCACAGTTGAATCAATCAATTTAGCAATCCAACACTACCAGGGAGAGACTGGGCGCAAGACCAACGGCTTTACGTGCTTTACTAGTTACAGGAGTGAAACACTTCCAACATACTGATGCCTGGCTGCTACTGAGAATTTCGTGACAGAAAAGCCGATTATATGATTTTGGCCCGATCTGGATTCGAACCCGGGACCACATGATCACAAATAAATGTTATTCTTACTTGACATGTAGATAATACAATGAGTTTGGCATTGAAGGATGGATAATTTAACTAAAAAAATAAAAATCAACTTTGCTATCATCAGATATTGTTAATTTAAATATTCAATTATGATATTAGTCAATAAAAAAGCTTTTTCAATTTAAAAAATGGGTACACAATAATATGTGAAGCATAAAACAAAAGTATAATAAAGTAATTTACAGGACGTCGCGTATAATTTTTCACATTATATACGACAACCTTCTTGATGATGATGAGTATAATGTATTAGACTTGTTTCGTATTAATAGAACTAGATATTTTACACAATATTGATAATTGGAAACCGCTCTTTTCAATAACTTTTACTTCTTTAAGATGTGATCAATTAAATATTGTCAACATGCTCCACGGGAATCATTGCTTTGAATTTTTTTTGTATAACCTACATTTAAAATATTTACAGTCTTCACAAAGTTTCTTATAGTAAAATTATTTTGGAATTGATCATCTATAAAATTTGTCTAGTAAGATTCTTGTCTTCATCATCTTTGAACAGTCCTGAGTTGTCACCGACTTGAAATCTGTTAAAAGTTGAATATTAAACTTAAATGACTGTGTAAAATATTTCTTAATAATAAAAAGAAAATACATGGAACATGGAACACTCGGTTGAAACGAAGTTCCTTTCGTAGTATATTATTATTGATAAACGTATTATATATTTTAACGGTGGTAGAGCTACGCAGAAGTTTTTGCTGTTGCATGTATGGGCCGACTCGAGCCGGGTTGGTACCACGACCTCACAGAATACCGGCGTGAAGTAGCTCTGTTTCTGCGTTTCGTCTGGTGAGTGTAGGTGGCCGAAGGCCCAATCCCCCCCCCCCCATCAACATGGTAGCGGAATTACACGTTAGTCTACCCCAGGAGGGTATCAGCACCCCTGGAGAATCCCTCGCTGAGCATCCACGACCATGTTATTCCACTCCTGAGCGTGGGTGCTCAGGCTGCCCCGCGTATTGTGGGGTGAGGGCCAAAATTCCGCTCAAAAACATAACTGCTCGGGGCAAACTGAGCAACAAGATCAAGGCGACCCCTGCCACGCTATCCGTGAATTTCTGCAACATCAGGGAAATTCACTCGAACCTAAACGCCGTCCACTACCATCTCGAGACGGCGAAGGCGGCCTTGCTCTTTCTAACCGAGACGCAGGTTTCCTCTCCGGCTGATATTTCGTATGAATCCTACCCGGGGTACAAATTGGAGCACTCATTTGTGCCTGGGGCTGGAGTTTGTGTGTATGTCAGAGAGGACATCTGTTCTCGACGCCTCGGCAGTCTTGAAGGTTCGGACCTGTCCATCCTATGGCTACGCGTAGACAGCGACGACCATCCGCGCGTCTACGGGTGCCTCTATAGGTCCCATAGTGGTTTTGCCGAAACAGACCGACTCATTCACCACGTCCAAATGGCTACAGATTCTTTGCTATAACAGGTCCCATCCGCAGAGATCGTGATCCTTGGCGATTTTAACGCCCACCACGCCGAATCGCTCGCTTCATTTTTAACCGAACATGCGGGGAGATCTGTTTATGACTTTGTTTTGGCATATGGTCTGACACAACTGGTTACTTCGCCTACGCGGATTCCAGATGTGGATGATCATACACCTTCCCTGTTGGACCTTCTGCTGACCTCTCATCCGGACGGATATGAGGTTTCCGTAGATGCTCCTCTCGGCTCGGTCTGATACGGAGTGTGGTGCCACTGAAACTCCTCCGCATCGTTCTTTGCACCCTAACCATGGGGGCGGGTTTGCTTCTCGCCGGATGATCCCAGCGCTGTTGCTGACTCTGTCACTGATGTGGTGCTACAGGGAATGGAACTATTTATTCCATCATCTGTGGTACCCATCGGAGGCAGATCTCAGCCTTGGTTTGGTCGCTCCTGTAAGACTACATTACGCAGTAAGCAGGAGTGTTATCAAGCCTGGACTGCATCTTCGGCGAATCGGGGTGTAAACACCAGCACACTTAAAAAGAAGTATAACTTCGCCTCCAGGTCTTTCAAAAGAGTTATTGCCAAGGCAAAGTCTGAGCACATCGGCAGAAATCGCGAGAAACTAGTTCACCTTCCTTCGGGAACCCATGCATTCTGGTCTCTCGCCAAGGCTGTTCACGGGAATTTCTGTGAGCCTTCACTACCATCTCTGCACAGGGAGGACGAGTCACTGGCCCACGCCGCAAAAGTGAAAGCCGACCTTTTAGGCTCCCTTTATGCGTCCAACTCGACTCTTGACGATGAGCGGAAAACACCATCCCGTGGTGTGAGTGCTCCATGCTGGATGTGCTGTTTTCACAGCGCTTGGTTCGCAAAGCACTCCTCTCCCTTGACATCCAAAAGTCGAGTGGGCCTGACGGAATCCCCCTAATTGTGCTGAAGACGTGTGCTCTGGAGTTGGCACCGGTCCTAACGCGTCTTTTCTGGTACTCCTACTCCCAAGGCGTAGTCCTGAATTCATGGGAGACAGCTTTTGTCCACCAGATTCATAAAAAAGGCGACCGCTTAGACCCGTCTAACTACAGGCCAATCGCCATCACCTCCTTGTTCTCCAAAATAATGGAATCCATTATTAACTGCCAGCTCATGCGGTACCTTGAGGATCACCAGCTGATTAGTGACCGCCAATACGGTTTTCTTCGGGGTCGATCAGCTGGTGATCTTCTGGTCTACCTGAACCATAGATGGGCGGAGGCAGTAAAGTCCAAGGGGGGGGGGGGGGGGGGTTGGCCATTAATTTGGACATTGCGAAGGCCTTCGATCGGGTTTGGCACAAAGCGCTTTTTTCGAAGCTCCCTTCCTATGGGCTTCACGAGAAATTGTGCAATTGGATCACCAGCTTCCTTGCAGATCGGTGCATCAAAGTCGTTGTAGATGGTGCATGCTCCGACTACAAGCCTATTAACGCTGGTGTCCCACAAGGCTGTGTGCTATCACCAACGCTGTTTCTTCTGCATATCAATGATATGTTGCAAACTGGTAACATTCATTGCTATGCGGATGACAGCACTGGTGATGCTATGTACATCGGCCGTGCCAATATTTCTCGGGAAAACGTCGCCGAGTACCGGAACAAACTTGTGTATGAAGTCGAGTCTTTGCTGAACAAATTCTCGGATTGGGGGCGACTAAATCTAGTCCACTTTAATCCTCAGAAGACACAAGTTTGCGCGTTTACCGCTAAAAAGAACCCCTTTGTCATATCTCCTCAGTTTCAAGGCCCTTCTTGCCTCAGCCAGTATCGGAATCCTCGGAGTCGACATATTAAGTGACGTGCAGTTTCGTGGTCACTTGGAATAGAAGGCCAAATTGGCCTCTAAAAAGCTTGGCAAGCTCAGCAGAGCGGGATAGTATTTCATGCCGGTACACCGCATGCAAGTTTACAAGGCGCAGGTTCGGCCTCACATGGAATACTGTTTTCATCTCTAGGCAGGGTCTCCCCAGTGCCAGCTCCTTCCACTTGACCGCATCCAGCGCTGAGCGGCTCGAATCGTAGACAACCGAGTCCTTTCCGATCGGCTCGATTCATTGGCACTGCGAAGAGATGTTGCATCCCTTTGCATTTTCTTTCGCATTTACCACGGGGAGTGCTGTGAGGAATTGTTCGGATTAATCCCAGCCGCCAAATTTCACGAACGCACATCGCGGCAGAACTCTCGATACCATCCACACCATCTGGATGATTGGCGGTCTACCTCTGTGCGATTTAGAAGATGTTTTCTTCCTCGCACGACTTCCTTGTGAAATCGATTACCATCAGCGATTTTTCCGGACCGATACGACTTAGGGACCTTCAAGAAAAAGAGCGTACTCCTTTTTAAAAGGCCGGCAACGCATCTGCGATTCCCTCCCTGGCGTTGCTGCTGTTCATGGGCGGCGGTAGTCACTTACCACCAGGTGAGCCGCATGCTCGTTTGCCCCCTCTCCTATAAAAAAAAATATTGATTAAAAAATACAAATATATGAATTACTAGTGTCTATTAAAATGAAGCGTCATTTAAAATGAAATAATATTTCGCCCATGGCAAGATAAGAAAAAGTGCGAGGGAGACGGATATTATTCCATCTTGCTTCCTTATAGCTGCCAAGGCCGTCAACACTACGTCAGAAGAGGTAGCGACGGAAAAATCTTACACTTTTTCTCGCCTATCCCCCATAAGGAACGTCGTTCCAAAACTTAAGTTGAATAACATAAAAAGTTTTATTACGTGACTTTCTTTGATCGCTTTTTTCTTCGAACTGTATCTGCCGGTGTTGCCTCAATGCAGAGTACAATCAGCCTTGTACTGCAGGAGTATCTAAAAATTACAAAATAATGTGTTATATATACCACAAACATTATTAATTATATATACGTTGTTAGCTTAAACAATTCAATAATTATAGATAAGAAGATAGGTGAACTAAATAACAATTGATAATACTTACGTTTCTTGGTCTAAAAGCTTGTTAGAATGCAATGAAGATGCCAGACCAAATTTGTCAGCACTGCTACTATGCCATGCGTCACAGTAAGCGTCCATTGCTGGCTCACCATTAGGACTAGCACCATGCCAAACAGCTTTTGTTGGCCTATGAAATTAATTCTTTATTATAGTAATATAAGAAATATATTGATAACTAATAATTTTATAAACAATATTTTCAACATATTATATATATTATAAGGAATCTAAATTATACATAATCTTACCAATTTGCATCGACTAGAACATTCTTTCCGCCGAAGCTGAAAATTCTAGGAGCGTGTGCAAACAGGGCTCCAGACCCATCGAACATTTCTCCCCATGAGTTAAATAATACATCGCCTCTTGTATTAACTACTGGAATCTCTCTGTCAACCCAATTCACTATGGAGTCAATGTTTTGCACTCTGAAAAAATCGATTAATGCGTAGATTTGTTTCAAATAATTTAAATTATGTTTACAATACTCGTATAATATGAAAATCTTGTAGTTTGTAGTCTTATATTTCTATTTGTTTCACAAAAAAATATTTCTTAATCTTTACCAGATTTCTTAATTTTTACAGAATAACGCTATAAATTCATTAAGTTATAAAATATAATATTTTTATTTAAAAATCGTCCTAAATGAGTACAGACATAGTTTCTAGAATAGAATAACTGAAATATAACACGAACCTTGAAGATATAAACGCTCGAAAAGTGCCTTCAAGCCCGGCTCTTTGCGCTTGCCTACGACATTCATAGTTGGTACTGCTTACACCATGCATGTCTCCCGTATGCGGTTCATTTAAAGCAGCCAGACGTAACTATTAAAAAATTATACAATTTAATAAAACAATTTTCTGCATAAAAGAATATATTTTGTCTAATGTTCCATATTGTTCGGCTCATAACCTCTTAATTCTCTTAATTCTTTCTTAATAAACCTCTCCTTTTCTGACAGCAGTGAACTTACCGATGTATTTCAGTTTAAAGAGGAAGAAAACCAGATGGCATTACAACTTTGTGCTATAATTAATAACGGATCTATAACCTTCTTTGTATAAAATTAGTTACGTAACACTTACTATGACGTTAACTATTAGCTCACTTGATATCTATTTAAAAAATACATATTTTATAAATATAAACAAAATGTGCAATGAAACCGTAACAAACAAACTCAATGGTTAAAACAGTGATTTAGATTATATCAAATTCATCAAGCTGTTTAAGCTACACAGCGTGCCCACGAACTACATAAAGACATAAGCGCGAAAACCATTACCCCATTTTTATGGAAATCGGATAATAAATTTAATTTTAAAACCATAATGTTTTGTTCTATGCTAGCGGCATTAGTGAATCAATCGCATTTTTTATTATCATTGCATAAGGTTTTAACCATCTCATATTTGATAAATGTATGGAAAAATTAGATTACGAGACCTATACTACGTCGGCATTTAACCCACCTATCATACGTGCATTTAAATGCAAATCCTTGTACTATACAATTAAATACAATAAAATACAAGAAACTCAGAAGAAATACAGTATAACGGAAGGGGCTAAGTCCAAAATTAGTCATTTTAAGAAAGTTTTTTTTTTATAGTATAGGGTGACAAATGAGCACACAGTCCAGCTGATGGTAAGTGAATACTGTGGCCCATAGACATTTTCATTTATCCTTAATTAAGAATCAAAATGCAGATGCGTTTTCACCCCTGAGGACTAAGATGGAATATCTCGTTTTTAATAAAAATGGTCTCTGGTTCTCTTCACTCACCATACGTAACAGAGCAGCATTAAGCTGCTGTTTTACTCTGGTATTCTGTGAGAGCGTGGTCCTATTACGGTCGAGCCGACCCATTCGTGCCACAAACATAATATCTGGAGCGTGGCTCTACCACGTATAAATAAAAGTACTTGATTTCTTACCACCGGCCCTTCTCCTGCTGGATTCTTGTGATGCACTAAACTAGATGTTTCCAAAACATTTTGAAGAGGTGTTCTTGTTGGTTCACCATTTGGTGATGTTTGTATTGCCAAAAGTGATCCCATCTATAATTTAATATAAAATGAAAGCATCGTTTCATTTAAGCATGCCTTCAATCAAAATATGTTGTATTGCTACTAGTTTCCACATTATGATTACAATTTTTAATGCTGTATTAATTTCGAACGCAAGCCCCTACTTATTTTATTATTAAATATAAAATCAATTAGATATGTGAAATCGGAACTTGTATCTGAGCAAATCATTAACCTGACGCGCATTTATATTTTTTTTTATAGGATAAGGGTGACAAACGAGCACACAGTCCACCTGATGGTAAGTGGTTGCTGCGGCCCATAGACATCTACATTTATCCTCTGTTACAAATCAAAATGTAGATGCGTTGTCACCCGTGAGGACTAAGATGGAATGCCTCATTTCTTTGGCAACCTGCACTCACCAAGCGAAACGCAGAGGTAAACCTCTACTTCACGCTGGTTTTCTATGAGGTCGTGGTACTACCCCGGTTCGAGCCGGCCCATTCGTGCGACAGCAAAAGCTGCCGCGTGGCTCTACCACTGTTAAATTTTATGTTAAATTTTATTTAAATTACATGATACTGGCAAATAAATATTATATATGGACTAATAAAAATAATTCAATACGGACAGTTATACATTGTAGATACATTACAGTTAGATATAGTGTAGATAGATGTATATGTCGTCTATAAAATACCCGGTTGGATCGAGGTGGAATGGAGGGTATATCGAGAATCCCCCGCTTGTTTGTGCAGTATAAAGTTCAGTGTAGGCGCCGTACGCGAGAAATTACTCTTAATTTATTCTACGGGTGTGGCCATTCGACTAGTGCTAAGATAGTGTCGTGGTTCTGTTCGTTGTTGTAATTCTTCTAGTGCAGGCAAGAAGAATTGATGTTGCTGAAAGGCTGCCCTGTGTTACATTGAGATAAGTAGTGTTGCTGTTGGTTTATATATTTTGGTGTTATAATGTAATTACGTACCTCACGTTACACTGGTGTATGATTGTGGCGGAGACGTGTTACGGTGGTCGAACTGTAATTGCTCTATACTTAATGTATAGTGCGTTTACGCTGTCTTAGTACTGATAATGGTTAACTGTGTAAGCAAGAGAGCAAGTTCAACATCCGCTCTCACAATTTTACTATTTTTTTTACATTTAACGCTATCCTGATGTATTTCCGAGATGAAAATTGGGATTCTCTGTTGTAATTCTCCGACATACACATTACGGATCACTTTAAACATTTTGATGTATGCATGAATATTGCCGTACTTAAGAAATATTCAAATAATTTAATAATTAACGACACGATCAAAACAGTGACGGACGAAAAGTATTTTTGCATTGTATGTTGATATACCAGAAAAAAATCACACAAACTTTGTTTTTCATAATATTATACAACATATTATAAAAGAAAAAGTTATTTTTCCTTCAAAGTACTGTTAGGATGAAAGGTATACTAACTTTACACCATACTAACTTTAGACATTTTACATTGCTTACCGCGACATATTGCCAGCCATTGTTGACACGAACAAGCAAAGCTTGCTCTCGTATGATATACGCCAAAGTACCTCGAGGACAGGGAGTGCCAAGCTAGAAACAGGATATTCTGGATATATTTGCATATATTACCTACTCACCTAAATTTTTGAATTCTGATGAATTCTAAAGTATTCTAAATTTTATAATATTTTATTATCATTAAAATTACTAAGTTTAAATAACCTAAGAGTTGCAGCACTGAAATTGTCTACTAGTGGATGATTTAAAGACTTCTAACATAAGACATATTTATGATAGTAACAAGTTCTAATTGTGCATAGATTTATTATAAACTAACGTTAGATATTATATTTACAAATAATTACTCACTTTTAACAAAGATTCTGTAGTTTTGAACAATATCGTTCCAACTATTGCTTTGCCTTCTTCTTCATCATCGAAATCTGTATCGTCTTCTAGAGGATCTAAAGAATCTCGGAAACCTGTTGAATTAAGCGCTTCGTTTAAGTATATGCTATGTATATCTGGAGTGAAGGTGTAGTATGGAGCGTACTCGTAAGTATGAAATTTCGCTAAAATCATACTTTAATGCACGTAGCGAATTCTGTTTATTAAAGCACTGATTTATGATTAATGGCAGTATCAAAAATTCCCTACTAAACGAGTGGTAGTATGAGGAGTAGTAACACCATTGCGAGAGTGTCAACTCCGGCTTCACCAATTAGCTTATTTAGGTTCTTTTAAGTTATACAAGCCAGCAGCAGTTGTTTCATTATAGAATTTTTTTTTATGCAGAAGTGGATTATGAAATAATAATAATTTTTGTAGTACAGAGGTTCGTCGCTAAGAGCAGTTAGTATATATATATATATATATATATATATATATATATATATATATATATATATATAATATATGAAATCGCCTTAAACTGTCTGTATAAAAGTATAAAGTATAAAATACAGAAAAAAATACGTTTTCTCTTACCATAAATGTCTTGGCGGTTTTGCACGAGGTTATTTAAGCTTCTTAGAATTTGAAGAGCGTCGCGTTGTTTCCCTTAATATAAAAATAACATGAAAGATTTTAATTGCTTTGGCGACATCAACTACTATTTTATATCCTTAAATAGTAAAGCTAAAGCCTAAATACGCCTCATATTTCCTTGTCTTAAAATACCTTCTCTCATTTCTGAGAAGGTGTTTTAAGACAAGGAAATATATGTATAAATATACAGGAGGGCTTCACATGTCTTCAAAACATTTTGTTTAATTTCTCAGACATGGAGGTTTTATGGTTGCTTCGTTCACCGATGAGCGGGAATTGCTGCTGCATCATTCACTTTTGTGAAATGTATAGCGAGCGCTTATCTATAAATAATAATAATAATAGAATATAAAATGATTTACTAATACGTTCGGGCATGACTAAAAAACGATCAATGTTAACATGCTATTTATGGAATAGAAATATGAAGAAAATATTAAAAAGCTAGAAGACAATTGCACGAAAAACTTTCCTTATCCATTTTGACAAATTAAAACTAGATAAAAATATTTAACAAATATGTTACTTAAAATAGTAGGAACTGCACTTTCATACCAACACTTGGCCCACGATGATTAACTCCTGGACTGTCTGTTAATGAATCCACGGGCAATTCGTTGACATTAGAGGGTCCAGGAGGCCCGGGAGGACCTGGTGGCCCTGGAGGTCCCGGTGCTGAGACGTATTGAATGTTCGTAGCAGGAGAACCAGGTGGACCAGGTGGACCTCTTGGCCCATCCCTGCCAGGTAAGCCAGGAGAACCGTCGTCTCCCCGGTCTCCTTTCTCTCCTTTAATCTGTGTAGTAATATTTAAATTAAAGATAGCTATTAAATAAAATCAGACACTACTTTGCAAAAATTATGTATTTTTTGTCGTATGCATTATTAATTTGCAAAGATCTGTATGCAACTTGTAAAAAAGCAAAGGGTAATCTTTAAACTAGATTATACAAACCGTTTACATCTATAGGATGAAGATTTTAGCTAATGAAATTTGCTAATATTATGTAAAAAAAAAAACAAGACTTACCTTTCCAAAATCAAAGGGAGCAATTCCGGAATCGCCTTTATCACCTTTTGGCCCTGGCGGGCCAGGTTGTCCCGTAGCCCCTGGTGGACCCTTATAAGAAGGATAAAATTAAAGATTTCAAACTAAAATAAAATTAAAGAAAAACTAGTTTTTATTGCAACAACTAAATAAGAAATACAATCACAACTTACTGTCCATCCCGGTAGCCCAATATCGCCAGAAATTCCATTATTGCCAGGTATGCCTGGAGGACCAGGTAATCCAGGTGAACCTTTTAATCCCGGAGGTCCAGGATGACCGCGCTTACCCCTAGGACCAGGCTCACCTTTGTCTCCCTATAATATTTTTATCCTAGTTAATTTCAAATAATTAAAATAAACATAATAAAATTTCAAATAATTTTAATCAGTAGTTGCAGAGTTGTTTTAAAATAATAATTTTTGTTACCTTTGTCATTATAACTGCTTCATCTTTTGAAATAGCTACTGGTCCAGGCGGACCTGCTTCGCCTTTATCGCCTTTGGGTCCGTTAAGACCTGGTACACCTTGAGGACCAGATACCCCCGATTGCCCAATGTCTCCACGCTCTCCAGGTTTCCCATCATTTCCCGGAAATCCTTGAGGCCCTTCTATACCTCTTACTCCCTTTTCACCCTATAATCCATATTGAATATTTAATACTTTAAGTTATTTTTTTTACAACCGACTTCAATATAAGTTATTAAGAATAACTCAAAAACTATTAGTCAGACCTTTATCAAATTTTTATGGGATCTCCAGCTTTCAAATAAAAGAAATAATCATCGAAATCGGTTCAACCAGTAAAAAAATATGAGGTAACACACATAAAAAACAGACACACAGTCAAATTGAGTACCGTCTCCTGTTTTGAAGTCGGTAGAAAAAATTGTATCATCGCAAAGAAAAAAAAATTAAAATCAAATTTCCGAAAATATCATATTATACAATTACTCAAAGTACTTTCTCTTAAAAACACAACTTAACTAGAATATTTTGGGTCAAAAGCATAAAACCTTTGAATTATAAAAAAAAGAATACAAGTTCACCGATGAAAAATGGCTTTCCTATATATGGCCCCATAGATCTCCCCTCGTTGCCATTCTTGCCACACTTGATAGGCGGGTTAGTAACCGCAGCTTTTAGTTATTATTGAGTTGTTATCAAGTCTAACTATCTAAACTATCTCCTGTTTTAAATTCTCTCTGTCGCCTCATACGACAGGAATTCCCATACACTGACATTACATACTAAAAATAAATAATTTTATAACAAAAGATGGTAAATAGTACCTTTTCTCCTTGCTCTCCTTTTTCTCCTTTAGCCCCTTTTGAAAGGGGGGAAACGTCTCGCAACCCTATTTAAAGAATTGTAGTGTACGTAATATTATTAGTATAATCTTATGAATACGCGAACACGTAGTGATTAAAAAAAGGTTTGTCTCACTCTAATTTTACGAAATTTATTGCATTTAATTTAAATTAAGCGAAAACTAAACGCTATAAAATCCGTAAAATTAGTTTCATTTAATGATGCTAAAAAAGCTTTAAAGCATTTTCATAAAGCACAAACCTTACAATTTTCAGTGTGGTACCTGTCGTAAATAGCGAACTGTAAGTCATTTATATTCAGTTAACGTTATGGAAAACATATAAATATAAAACACACGTCAAGTTATTAGTCGAGGTTTCATGGTAAGCGGATATGTTATTATGTATGCTGTAAGTCAAAAGGGTTGAAGCAATTCCAGAAACGAAATGGTATTGTAATTAGTGTAAGTCAAAGTAGAAAGTTTATTTGAAAGTACTATAGAAACTTCACTTCCATGACGGAAATGTTATTAATAAAAAGCTTATTATTTTTCGGTAACAAAAACATGATGTTTAATTTAAATGTTTAATTTAACTCCAAACCCTTTATTAAATCTATTTATTTACTATGAACGCATTAATATAAAATTGTTAATAAAATATAATAAATATTTACCGGAGCGTTCTAAACTGCTCCCCACAGAATTTTCCAGTAATCCCGGATTCATAACACCTGGTGGACCCGGTAGACCACGCGCACCTGAATAATTCATTTCAATCATATGTACTTTCAATAATTTGAACATGTCTCTTATTATCGAATAATATATATAGAATTATCTTTTTTATTTTAAATTGGATTTTATTATGCCTAAACATTGACTACATCAAAACACAAAGTAATGTCATTTAAGAAATTAATGTATTTTAAAATACTGGGATGAGGCGTAATGAAAATTATTATGAATATTATCTCATAATGAGAAACTATAATGCAAGAAAGAAATGATTTGCAGAAATGCATTAACTTGCTAAGAATTGAAACATAATATAAGGAATATTTGCAACTGTACTACTCCAAAGTACTACGCATATTTTCTCAAGCATAAATAAAAGTCATAATGTGCCATAAAATTTGATGGTCGAGTTACCTTTCTCACCCTTTTCCGCCGGCCGGCCGTGTGGCCCCGGAAGACCCGGCAATCCATCGCGACCAGGTTGACCTCGTTCCCCTTTGGCACCATATGGCCCTCTAATACCCACGTAGCCCTGTAATTCTTACATCAATAAGACTAGAAATTCTTAAAAAAGCTTTATTTATAATTTTTCAAACTGTAGAATTCTTCATTTATTTTGAAATAAGCTCTTTCCATTGCTTAAGTGAAATAATGTATTTATTTAATTTCGGAGGCTTTTTCATATAAATCGGTAAAAGAAAGACCGTACAATACAAATTCATTGAAAATAAATTTTCATTCATTCTATTAAAAAAAAATCAAAAAAATTAATAATATTAAGAGGATATACGTGTGTAAGTCCTTTCCACTAAAACCACCAACCATTTGTCACATTGAAAGTTACATTAAAATTTTATAACAAGGTTATTATTTCATATTATGTAATTTAAAACAGCTTTATGGAATGTTTTCAAAATTTTATTATGAAATACTTACAATATGAACGTTTTTTAATCTAAAGGAACATATAAAAAAATGCAAAAATTAAGCAGACTTGAACATTTTTACCTACCCTCTCGCCCTTATCTCCTTTAGATCCATGCAAGCCCTTTTCACCCTTATTTCCTGGATAACCTCTTTCGCCTTGAGGACCGGGTAAGCCCATTGGGCCTCTTTCTCCCGGCGTACCGGGATTTTCATGATTACTAGACCCGTATAATCCTGTTGACTCCTATTTAGGTAAATGTGAAGAATTAATAATGCATAAGGGAAAAGTTGTAAAATAAAGTATCTTTAAGATAATAGTTTACAATTAAAAAGTAAAATATTACACAGAAATATAAATTAATACAAAGTAGTTTTAATTTATTTTAACTCATATACAAACATTAAACGAATTACTGACTGTATTGAGATAAGTATCTGATAAAACGATAATAAGCTTGAATTTGTTCCTGGTAACTATCCCAAAATATTTACCTACGGTTTTTTTAGTAAATAGAAACAATATTATGTTTATTTCTTGATGAATCTTATCTTTTTATTAAAATGGCAATATATTTTTTAATTCAATAAAATAATAAATATTTTTTTCTTAAGCAATTTAATAATTAAGATAAAAAGCCGAACTAATTATTTTTTGTCTAAACACTTTGGCAGTATATTTAAAAAAAGATATATTGATAAGATTTCATATTTTACTTAAATTTTTGATTAAGATCCAAGCAATTTTACCATTAAAGCTGAAACGACTGCTCCTGGAGGTCCTTGCGGTCCAGGAGGTCCTTGTAGTCCAGGTGTACCATCCGCTCCAGGTTCTCCTTTTGGACCAGGTTGGCCCTCTTTGCCAGGTGAGCCCAAATCACCTCTTTCACCTTGTTCGCCCTTAGTACCTGGGGGTCCAGGGGAACCCGGATTTCCCATTTGACCCTGAAAAAAGAAAATGATAAATTGTGGTTGTTCATAAATAATTGAAATTGTTGATAATGTAGATAATTAATTGAACACAACTATAACTCACTAAATTTTATGTTCTTATGAGCTTGATTAGGTGTATTAAAGTGAATGTTAATAAAATAAACTAGACGCTATGTATGTTCCTGTAAAAAATACCGTTTTTCCTGGCGCCCCTGTAGTTCCGTCAAGTCCAGTTTGCCCTGGAGGACCCGGTGGACCCTTTAATTCAGGCAATGACTCCAGGATTCGTGAAATATCGTTAACGCTGCATTGACAATGTTCCGAGAGCGGCATCTAATACAAAAGAAAAAGTTGTCAGAATAAAATTTTGAAAGCCGCACATAAAATGTTACTAGGAATATTTAGGTGTTTATCAAAAATTTAAATTGGGACTAACATTAACGTCTGTGGGTTTGTTTAGTTTGTCCAGCGTTCCGGATGATGCGGAATCCCTATTCACAGTTTTATTAGTCGACCCCTGTATAAACAACACAATCATTTGAAAGGCAAATATTATAGTTATTGACTATGTGTTATATATGCAATAAATTATTGTGAAATTACAAAACAGTACATGTCTGCATTATTTATTGTAATTAAAATACATAAGAATCAAAATACCTATCTTAATATACTTACATATTCGTCTTTTTGTCCCTTCTGTCCAGTTAAATCTGCAATTAATAATCAGAGAAACAAAACAAAAGTTTAACCAAATGTACCTTGTTTAAAAAAAACTTTAAATTATATATTATTTTAGCGCTTAATTTACAAAAAATAAGGCTATTTCAAATTTCAAAAATGCCTAAAGTTGCTCTCTCTCCCTCTCTCTCTCCTCTCTCTCTCTCTCCTCTCTCTCTCTCTCTCTCTCTCTCTCTCTCTCCTCTCTCTCTCTCTCCTCTCTCTCTCTCCTCTCTCTCTCTCTCTCCTCTCTCTCTCTCTCCTCTCTCTCTGTCTCCTCTCTCTCTCTCTCTTTCTCGACTCGACAAGTGTGTTGTCACATAGTCCACCTGATGGCGAGTGGACACATAGACATCTACATTTATCCTTAGTTAGAATCGAAATTCAGATGCGTTATTGGCCTGAGACGGAATGCCTTGTTTCCAGTTTTTTTTCTTATTTAAAACTTTACCCCCACACTAGGGTTTTCTCCTGTATCGTGGAGGCAGTTTACAAACACAAATTGCATAAGGACAAACATCTAGACCCGGAACAATTATTTGTAGGCGATACAAATACTTGTTCCGTACGGAATTCAAACCCGCGGCCCCCAGAGCAGCAACTCATTGCTAAGCCACGGCGTCACGGAGACGTCCAGTAAGAAAGTACTTCAGTTCTCTACACTCACCATCGAAATACAGCAACATTAAGCTGCTATTTTACATTGGTATTCTGTGTTAAGTGTTGTACTAATATTAACAAGGCAAAAAGAGTTTAGAAGTAAACTATATTTCAAAGATATTATGACTTATCAATCGTGTAAGACCAAGGTAAAGTAGTTGGATAATAAGGATGTTTGTATCGCTGTCACACTCGAGGAGCTTTTATCGTATTTATTTGGTAAACGAGTAACAGTCCATCTTATGATATTAAGTTGCAGGTAAATAAAAAAATGGTACACTGGGACATTTTATTACTGAGATGAAGTACTATATAGCCTTAAATTGTCCTGGCTCTCCCTTCAAATTAAAACAACAATATATGACGCACTGCTGCTTGGCAGAAAAAACGTAGTTTTCCGTTCTACGGAAATCATTGGAAACTTCTAGGCCAATCCTACACCTTACGTTTCCTCGTTTCACCGCTTTCTTGAACAGCGTACCCCACAAGCCGGTAAATTTTGGTGTGAATCACAAAGGAGAGCTAGCTAAATAAAAATAAAATATACCTATCAGTGAAACTTCGTTTCAATGACTGCTTTGGAACCACTACCAAACATTGCAGGAGTTATTAATAATAATTATTAATTTATCTCTTTACTTGGCAAATTGGTTCTACAACCTTGGTTGAAAAATTTTATTTGTTTATTGAATAAAACTACTTTTACGGATTAAATTCCCGATGTTTCGGTACCAGCAACGTTTCAGCACCCATGGCCACGGGGGACTTATTACTTATTTAATTATGTATCTAAGTGATTTTCGAATGGTGTATGATATAATATGTATTAATATATAATATAATGTGTACTCATCTGGTTGAGCTTAATAAAAATATAAAATAAAATGATAAATGTACATAAATATACACTAGATATAGTAAAATAAATAATATAGAAAAATAAAACAAGTGGAACCCTCGGTAGGGGCGACCAAACGGCCGAGGGTTAGGTGGAAAAGGAAAGAAATCATCGGAAGATGCGAGTGCTGTGTCGTGGAGGCAGTTTACAAACACAAATTGCACAAAGACACACAAACAGACCCGGAGCAATTATTTGTAGGCCATAAAAATAATTGTTCCATACGAGATTCGAACCCGCGGCTCCCAGCGCATTAACTCATTAATAAGCCACTGCACCACGGAGACGTCAAAGAAATTCAAATGCTTTCCTTGAGAATTTACTATTATTATGTGTGTATAAACCTGTACTATAATATCATATAATGATAAAAAAATTCAAGTGAGGTTTCATCAGAATTTTCTTCAGATATAATATGACCAGTGTATATATAAACACCTACATCAGTTACTCTAATGATTGTAGAACGCTGCTAATATTATATCTTCGAATGAAGCGATGAAATATAATTAATGCTTAAAAACAATTTATATCTTTGCACCTTGAAACCTATATAATGTTTTTTCTTTCTATTCGACCCGTAGGTAACTGGAAGGAAATACCAGCATTAAGTCCGCTTTTTGCACGCGATTTTGTGCAAGTAAAGTATTAGCAATTTGCAAGTAAAGCTTAAATATCTACATGTATTCTAAGTCGTAAAAGCAGTAGTCAGTAGTAAATCTAGCGTCTATTAGATTGTAAATAAGTTCCCTGGAGGCATATTATTTTAATAATATGTACACATAGACAATAGGTTTTCAACAGTGATCGTAATTATTAACGATCGTAACAATGCAATTTTCTATGAAAGTAAAAATGAAACTTACACGGAGACGAGTGGGATATTACTGGAAGTCTGTTTTCTTCTGGATTTACCTGTAACAACAAAAGTGTAAATTACAACTTCTGCGATGATTTAATAAGCATAAATAAATAATACATCGAATAGATTAAGAAATTATTTTTCAACATATATGTAAGAGAGTATAATATGTAAGAAAGTAATATATTATAGTAGAGACATAGATGTAAGAAAGTAATTTATATGTTTAATTTACCAATAGTTCGCAAATAACACTGTCCTGAGAAGAACCAGCAAGAAACCTAGCGGAACTTTTTTTTTGAAAATGGATACAGCTTACAATCAACTATACAAACCATATTATAAATAACTTGATAGTAATCACCTCATTACCAGAATTTAATATCAAGCATATATTCCTTAATAATATGATAACTCTTTCTTTACAATCCTCGTTTGATAATTTTGTTTAACTGGAAAAACTTTGATTTGGGTTTAGTTGTAATAACGTGTATATTGTGTCCCAATAATGTATTACTGACTGCAGTATAGTAGTCCAATAGTAGTTTATACTGAAATAGCTGGCACCTGACGCGTCGCTATCACGGGAAAAATAATAGTCAAAATATAATTTTAAATTTGGAAGAGTTAAATTGTTTAATTAGAAATGATAATACACTCGTTGAAGTTGAGTGATGTATATAAAACTTTCAAATAAAGTTGATACGATATGCCTAACCTTCGCACAATTGGAAGCAATAAGCTATGTCTACCAATGCACATTCAATTTCGCTTTCATGTTCATTTTGTGTTTCAACTTTCAGTTCGTCTTACGTCAAGCGCTGTGCCATAAGACTTATCGTCTATAACCCTGCGCTTGTCGCATGCAATGCGTCTATACCTCACGCACCTCGGTTAGGTTTGGTTAGAAATGGACGCGGCACTAGTAGTATCAGTGCGGCATATTTTGTGTTAAGTGCAGTGAAAAAACGAGAATCTGGATGAAAGATTATTTGAAAAAATAGAACAATATTGAAAGACTTAGAGCTAAACATGACATTCTTTTTAAAAATTTCACACGAATGACTAAATACACTTTCTACAAGCTTTTGCAAATAGTGGAGGCAAAAATTACGAATCGTAACACTCATTATCTAATGTTTTAACTTCGTCTTCCGCCATTTTGTTTACTAAAACGCACGAAGTAATGCATGCAAACCCACCAGTGACGGATCAGCGTTCACTCGAGGCATGCGCTGTTGTCGAAATAGTTTTAGCGTATATTGCACACGTTATGGTTGCTCAGGCATGCGTTAGAGGAAGACGCAAAATGAACAGGAAAGCGCACTGGTGTAGACATAGCTATAAATGACAAAGTTTTAGCACAATTTGATGGACGGTATGGCAGCGCATAATATACAAACAAACAAAAATTTACTTTTAGATAATAAGTAGAAATAATCTTTAACAGCGGTGCTGTCACCTCGCTTCAACAACGTATATAGATCCATCTACAAACAAAACAGAAACTGCAGTATCGAAGTTTCTCAACTAATCTTTAATTAATTAAATATACGCAAGTTTCGTACTACATGGAGCTTCGTTCGCTCCCCGGGCTAAACATATTGCCCAGCGGGAGATCTACCCTATTTCCAACTAATATTTCTATAATATATGTACGTGTACTATTTCTATATATAAGTGTGTGTGTGTTTGTGTGTGTTTAGTTTTCAGCTTCTGCAAGCCCGTTAAACTTGTTTTGTACTTGTTGACTAAACGCAGATTTATTCAGTAGAACGCGGTACTTACTATAGCACAGCCGTAGCACTGTGTCATTTATTATTAAGTAAACATCTACCCACCAGAACTTCGGACACAGCAGCGACATAAAACTGCACTATTTACATACGGTATCAAGGTGATGTGATGCGCGGCGCTCTGACACTCACGGACCACAAGCTACTTAGACCACAAATAATATTAAAACTTTGGGCTAAGTTTTTTTTTTATAGAAGAGGGGGAAAACGAGCATGCGGCTCACCTGATGGTAAGTGACTACCGCCGCCCATTAACAACCGCAACACCAGGGGAATTGCAGATGCGTTACCGGCCTTTTAGAAAGGTGTTTGCTCTTTTCTTGAAGGTTTCTAAGTCGTATCGGTTCGGAAAATTCGCTGGTGGTAATTGATTCAACAAGGAAGTTGTGCGAGTTATAAAACTTCTTCTAAATCGCACAGTGGTGAACCGCCAATCATCCAGATGGTATGGATAGTAACGCGAGTTTTGTCGCGTTGTGCGATGGTGAAATAGAGCGGCTGGAATTAGTCCGAACAATAACTCAGAGCACTCCCCGTGATAGATGCGTTAAAATACGCAAAGAGATGCAACATCTCTACGCAGTGCCAGTGTATCGATCCGATCAGAAAGAACTCGGTCGTCGACGATTCGAACCGCTCTGCGCTGGATGTGGTCAAGTGGAAGGAGCTGGCACTAGGGTGCCCCGGCCCAGAGATGAGAACAGTATTCCATGTGGGGCCGAACTTGCGCTTTGTAAAGTTGCAAGCGATGTACCGGCATGAAATACTGTCTCGCTCTGCTGAGCACGCCAAGCTTTTTAGAGGCCAATTTGGCCTTCCCTTCCAAATGACCACGAAACTGCACATTATTCGATATGTCGACGCCAAGGATTCCGATACTAGCAGAGGCAGCAAGGGGAGTGCCTTGAAACTGAGTAGATCCGATAAAGGGGTTCTTTTTAGCGGTAAACGCGCAAACTTGTGTCTTCTGGGGAAAAGACACAACTTCTGGGGATTGAACTGGACTATATTTAGTGGGCCCCAATCCGAGACTTTGTTAAGAAAAGACTCTACTTCAGACAAGTTTGTCCCGGTACTCAGCGACGTTTTCCCGAGAAATATTGGCACGGTCGGTATATAAGGCATCACCAGTGCTGTCGTCTGCATAGCAATGAATGCTACCAGTTAGCAACATATCATTGATATGCAGGAGAAACAGCGTTGGTGATAGCACGCAGCCTTGTGGAAAACCAGCATTGATAGGCTTGAAATCAGAGCATGCACCGTCTACTACGACCTAGATGCTCCGATCAGCAAGGAAACTGGTAATTCATTTGCACAATTTTCGGGAAGCCTATAGGAAGGAAGCTTCGAAAGAAGCGCTTTGTGCCAGACCCGATCGAAGGCCTTCGCTATGTCCAAACTAACGGCCAAAGCCTCCCCCTTGGACTCTACTGCTTCCGCCCATCTATGAGTCAGATAGACTAGAAGATCACCAGCTGATTGACCTTGACTAAAACCGTACTGGCGGTCACTAATCAGCTGGTGATCCTCAAGGTACCTCATGAGCTGGCAGTTTATAATGGATTCCATTACTTTGGAGAACAAGGAGGTGATGGCAATGGCCTGTAGTGGACGGATCTGAGCGGTCGCCTTTATTAGGGATCGGGTGGACCAAAGCTGTCTTCCATGAATTCGGGACTACGTCTTGGGAGTAGGAGTACCGGAAAAGACGCGTTTAAACCGGTGCCAACTCCGGAGCACACGTCTTCAGCACAATGGGAGGGATTCCATCGGGCCCACTTGACTTGCTGACGTCCAGGAAGAAGAGTGCTTTGCGAACCGAGCGCTGTGTTAACCGCACATCCGGCATGGAGCACTAACATCGCGGGATGGTCGGCGGTGTGTTCCCCCCGTCATCTAGAGTCGAGTTGGACGCAAAAAGAGAGCACAACAGATCGGCTTTCTCCTTTGCGGCATGGGCCAGTGAGTCGTCCTCTCTGCGCAGAGATGGAAGAGATGGCTGACAGAAGTTCCCTTGGACAGCCTTGGCGAGAGACCAGAATGCACGGGTTCCCGAAGGAAGGCGAACTAGCTTCTAGCCAATTCTGCCAATGTACTCTGACTTTGCCTTGGCAATGACACTATTGAAGGACCTGGAGGCTGAATTATACTTCTTTATAAGTGCGCTGGTGTTTACATCCTTAGACGTTGATGCGTCAGCCCAGGCCCGGTGGCACTCCTGCTTATAGCGTGATGCTATTTTACAGGAGCGACCAAACCATGGCTGGCATCTGCCTCCGATGGGCACCACAGAGGATCGAATAAAAAGTTCCATACCCTGAAGTACCACATCAGCAACAGAATCGGCAACAACGTTGGGATCTTCCGGCGAGAAGCAAACCCGCCCCCAAGGATAGGATGCAAAAAAACACCGCATCCCGTCCCAATCAGCTGACCTATAGTGCCAAACACGGCGGCAAGCTGCAGATCGCAACTGCGATTGGAGCGCGAGTGGCACCGTACTCCGGATCAGACAATGGTTCGAAGAGCCCAGAGGGGCATCGACGGAGACCTGATATCCGTCCGGATGAGAGGTCACCAGAAGGTCCAACAGGGAAGGTACATGGTCTTCCACCTCTGGAATCCGCGTAGGCGAAATAACCAGTTGTGTTAGACTATATGCCAAAGCAAGTTCAGAAGATAGACAGATCTACCCGTTTGATCGGTTAAACGAGAACCAAGCCATTCAGTGTGGTGGGCGTTAAAATCGCCAAGGATCACGATCTCTGCGGATGGGACCTGTTGTACAGCACGGAGTCTGCAGCCATTTGGACGTGGTCGATGAGTCGGTCTGTGTCGGCATTACCGCTATGGGACCTATAGCGGCACCCGTAGACGCGGGGATGGTCGTTGCTGTCTACGCGCAGCCATACGATGGACAGGTCCGTACCGTGAAGACTGCCGAGGCATCGAAAACAGATGTCCTCTCTGACGTATACGCAAACTCCAGCCCGGGGCACAAAGGAGTGTTCCAATTTGTACCCCGGGTAGGAGAGATATGAAGTATCAGCAGGAGAGGATACCTGAGTCTCGGTTAAAAAGAGCAAGGCCGGCTTCGCCGTCTCTAGATGGTAATGGACATCGTTAAGGTTGGAATGAATTCCCCTGATGTTGCAAAAATTCTCGGATAACGTGACAGGGGTCGCCTTGGTTGTATTGCTCCGCTTGCCCCGAGCAGCATTATTCGCAAGCGGAATTTTGCCCTCCCCCCCCCC